ACTCGGAAGGCTGAGGCAGGAGGATCGCTTAAGCCCAGGAATTTGAGGTTGCTGTGAGCTTGGCTGATGCCATGGCAACAGAGCAAGACTCTGTCTCAAAACAAAACAAAACAAAACAAAACAAAAAACAACAGAGAGCTCAGTAACAGCCCTGTGTGGATATATGAACTTAGCATATGACTCCGGTGGCATCATGAATCAGCTGGGAAAGGACTCAATAAAAGGCGCTCATATGGAAAAAGATAAAATTAAGTCCTATGTCACAGCATGCACAAACGTTCCAGGTGGCTAAATGACCTCAATATGAGAACATTTAACCTTGGAAGAAAATATAGAAAAAAAACATCTTTCTGATGTTAGGGTAGAAAAGGATTCCTCCAACATGGTACAACAAAAAGGATGAACTATAAAGGAAAAGACTGATAAAATGGATTACAATAATATCAAAATCTTCTACACAATAAAAGATAACATAAAAACACAAGCCACATGCTAGAAAAAGTATTTGCAAACCATAGGACCATCAAAAAGTATACCGAAAGGATGCCTACACATAAATAAGAAAAAGACAAACTGTGTTGTAAAAATGGGCAAGGGATATGAACAGGTAATTCGTGGGGTGGGAAATGTGCTCAGTCTCACAGGTGATCGGGGAAATGAAATTGAAAACAGAGTGAGGTTTTTATACCCTCGATTCTGGCAAAAATCAAGGAGCCCGATGATGCCGGGAAGCAGGAACTGGTTCACTGGTCTGTACGGCTGCTGCAGTCGCTTTGGCAACACGTGGTTGTAGGTGCGTTCCCTGTGACGGGCCATTCCTTTTCTGAGTCTCTCCTAGAGAAACTCTGGACGCACATGCGCAACCAGGGTCTCTGTGCCATGGTATGGTTTGTAATGATAAAAAAGCGGAAATAATCTAGATGCCCGTCCACATCCTTTAGAATGAATGAATTGCATTTTATTCGTAGTGAAACTTGAATAGTCAACATGAATCCCCCATGCCTATGTGGATCAACAGAAGTAAATCTTATACGTGGTCTGGAGTGATAAGTTTCAAAAGGAGACACACAGAACATTTATGTAAGATTTAAAACCACAACTCACCGGCAGCCAGCTAGCTCAGTCAGTAGAGCATGAGACTCTTAAAAACACAACTCACTTGCACAAGTGGAAAACGTATAAAAACACTTATATGTGTAGTAGAAGTATCAAAACCTGCTTGGGATTTGGCTTCTGTTTTTCAGTGCTTTACCTTAGCACCGAAAGAGTGCCAGGTACATAGAAGGCACTTGACAAATATTTGTTGAATGAAGAGAAAAAAGAAAGAAACCTGCTGGGAAGTGATGGACCTGAACTTCAGGAAGGTTCCCTCAGGGCAGGGACAGAGAGCAAAGGGAAGAGTGGCGCTTTAGCTTAGTAACATCTTCTAAATCTAGGAGTGGGTAAGAAGGGGTCCATTTCTAAATTTATGTTTTAAATGACTCATATTTAAGACTGAAAAAAGTAAAATTAAACAAATTGGAGGAAAAGGAATCCCAAAATTTAGGACAAATCATAGTCTTTTCTGAGATGACCCAGCTGGCCTCAGGAGCCTGGGAGCCTGTACCTTGGCCTCACCTGCAACACACTCACCTGAGTGTAGTGGGCGCAGGTGGCATTGTGGGCACACTCGGCCGCCGTGTGGCTGTACCGCTGCCCCTCTGCAAACCACAGGCTGACGACTTCGACAAAGGACGCCAAGCCTGCCGGCTGCAGCTGCTCGTTCCAGCCCACTTGCAGGGCAGACGCCAGGCTCGGGGCTGGGGTGCCACAGAGGGCTGCCCTGGCTTGAGCCAGTCGGGCCAAGCTCTCACTCCAGTCCTGGGGGTGGCACAGACAGAGGTGTCAACGCGAGGCCTTTGGGTAAAGGAGGCAACTGCTGGGCCAGGCCTCGATTCAACTCCTCCACTGTCTACAAGCACCCAGGAGGGGCCTGCCAGGTCATGTGGAGAAGAGAGCACTGGATGAGGAGTCCTGCTTGCACACCTGACGCTCTGAGCTGGTCTCTCTCACTGAGCCGGGGCCAGGAAAGGTCAGGCAGGACCCACCGGGAGCTCTCCCAGGTGCGCTGGGAAAGCACAGCGGTGCCTGACACCTGAACCAGAGCTCGGCTCCTCCTGGGACGGAGCCTCCCTCTCCCTGCGTCCTGGCGTGGGCTCCCAGAGGCCCTGCACAGGCAATGGGATGACCTTCCTGCCCTGTTCCTGTCAGGAGAGTGGTGCCCAAGCCTTGCCAACTGGCTCTGTGTTCTGGCCATTGTCAGAAAGGCTCAGTGGCTCCTGCCTGGCCAAGCTGCCCTCCTGCAGCGGCCATGCCTCTCTAGCCTGTTTTCTCGGCCCCCCCACCCCCGCCTTGGAGTAAGTAGGGGTACAGTGTGGAAACAAAGCGTGTGAGACGTCTCCTGGCTTTGGAGAGCTCTCTGGAGCAGGCCTCACTGCTCCCCAACCCCACCCCCTGGTCCAGCCACGTGACCCCTAGTGGTTACCTAATTTCCATGAGACTCAGCGTCCTCATGTGTAAAATGGGGACGATGCAGCATAGCACGCTGCAAGGACTGAACAGATGCAGGGGGAAGGTGCCCCTCAGGGCTGCCCCAGCAGGCCTGGCCTCGCAATGTTCCCTGGGATTCTGCCTCTGATGAGGGCGCAGCGGGAGCAGGGGACTCCCTTGGGCCTCACACCAGAGTACAAAGAAGGGGCGCCCTGAGCCCTAGAGGCCCGCCAGGGGTCCCAGGGCTGAGGCGGTGGGGGTGCTGAGGGGTGGGCTCCGTTTGTTCCTTTCACTGAAATATGGTTTTCCAGGACTTCCACAAAAGGCCCTGAAGAGGGTCCCACCTGCCCGCCTGCTGGCCGCAGCACCTGCGGGGTCCCAGGCAGGAGCACCCACCGCTGGGTGTCATAGCTGGGAATAGCCCTGGCTGCCCAGGGGCTGGGCCTGAGCAGTGGCAGAGCCACTCAGGGCTGGGAACCCCCACACCCCCGCCCTCCCCACCTCCACCTCCTGGGAAACTGACCCCAGAGCGCTCAAGGTCACCACCAGCCTAGGAGGAGTTCATGGGAGGCAGCCATGGGGAACCCTGCCCGCCCCCGCCCGGGTCTGCCCCTGCTCCCTGGCCTGTGACCGTGAGCTGTGGCTGCTGGGTCCCAGACTTTGGGAGACAGCATCTATGAGCCCCCTGAGGACAGCCCCACTTGGGGTGGTGGGAAATCCCACCTCCCCACACCTGCTCCTGCTGTGAAACATGACCAGTGAATGAGCAGGAAGCTTGGGAGAGGCCCCGCCTGGTGGCCCAGATAAGCCCAGGAAGATCTCGGCCCCCCACTCCCTACCCCCCTATCCTGCTGGACTCCTGGGGAAACTCCTTTTCCCTGGAGGAGGGGACTGTCTCCTTCCATGTCTCCTGGTCTCCATGGCAACAGGATGCCAGGGAAGGCCCAAGGCCTGCCCTTCAGGCCTGTGTGAGCCAAGGGGCCAGACCTCCTGCACTGAGGGTCCCCTGGGGGGAAGAAGCCACAGAGCCCCAGGAACCAGGGCCACAGTCTCTCCAGTGGGCAAGGTGACTGGTTGTGCCTGAGCCCTCCTCTGGGGCCTGTCCCTCCCGCTGCCCCCTGGCAGAGCAGAGCTGGGCCGAGGCACTCACCATTCTCCGCATGTTGGCCGCAGGGGGGTGGACCCGGCTGCGCAGGCGGTTGTGCAGGGCGAGGAGCAAGAAACTCTCCTTCCTGCTCAAGGCTGGGGTGGAGAGAGAAGGTCAGGCTGCGAGCAGGGGAACCTGGGCCCGAGCCAGGGCGGGTGAGGGTACAGGCCCCCTTAGGAAACAAGACCTAAGCCGGGAGAGGAGGGTGGTGCGTGTGGGGTGGGCACGGGGCGCAGAGATGGAGAAGGAAGCCTGGGTATAGAAGCCGGGCTCAGTGTGGGGTGAGGACGGCTGGGGCGTGGAGAGGGCAGCTGCCCTTGCCTGGGGCTCTGCTCGGCCACTGAGGCACTTCTGGGCCCAGCTGCAGGCTCTGGTCAGTTTTCCTCCTTGACCCCAGCCCTGGCCCACCACTTCCTCCTTCCGCCGCCCTCGTCCCCAGCCCCAGCCCACCATGGTTTGAGGGTTCCCTCATTAAGTCACAACAGCACGGCCCAAGGCTCCAGAAGTCGCCTAGCACCCCCTCTGCAGAGTTCGCAATGGCTCTGCCCAGACGTCCCTTACCTCCGGGCACTGGAGCCTGCTCCTGCGGGTGGGGCATCCACACATCTGCCCAGGCGATGCCAAGGAGAGCCAGGAGCACAGGCAGGAGGCCCCCCAGCCTGGGGGAAGGCTCCGGCCGCAGCATGGCCCTGTTGGGCGCTCCGGGCACAGCCTGGCTCAGCCGTCCAGCTCGCTTCCCAGGCTGGATGGAGCTATTCACAAGCTCGAGGAGTCAGACTGGGCTGGCAGACAAAAGAGGGAGGCTGGTGAGTAAGTAATCGCTGTGTCCAAACAGCCTCCCGTCGGTGCTGGCATGAAAACAGACAGACAGCTCCCGGGGCTGCCCGCTGCTCCAGCCCCGGCCTGGCCCGCCCGCCCCACCGACAGCAGGCGGAGCAGTGCGCACTGACCCCGTGGCCCCTGCTAATCATTGCAGGATTATTAGCGCCCTTGGGGAGCCCCCAGAGACCCTGCTGATTGGCCCACAGACATTCCAGGGCCGCGGATTAGTGACCGATGGCTGTGCCCTGGCTGGGACAGTGTCCTCTGAGCCCATCGGTGGTTTCCACTCCCCGGCCCCAGACCCAAGGAGGAGGCTGGGGCCTCGGCTATGTGCTCTTCGGTGGGCAGGACCTGGGCAAGACCCCAGGGGAGCTCTTCCCTTTCCTGGGAAGCTCCTCCCAACTCCCTAGCCATGAATTAAACATGGGTGAGAGGTAACCGCACACCAGACCGGTGCCACCAGTGGGCTCATGGGGGAATGGGCTGGGGCCGCTCCTGCGGGAAGAAAAGGGTACCTTGGGACAGCCTGCCTGGGCAGTGCCCCCCACGTGACAGCGCCAGGAGGGGCGAGGCAGGCGGGGACCAGAGCACGTGATGCCCTCGGCTGACTCCAGTCATGCTGGGAACAAGTCTGTCTCCAGACAAACAGGCGGCGTAGCAGGAGGGCAGCAGATGGCCATGACGTTTGGGCCTGGCTGTGGCCCACAAAATCCCACCGGGTAAGGTGCAGCAGATCTGCACCGCAGCCCACATTTCTTAGAAAATAAAGACTGTCCTGCAGGCCACAGGCGAACGCCCGCATTCCTCTCAGGGCAGATGGAAGGTTATTCAGCCGTGCCAAAGGCCCACTTCGCAGACCGCCTGCTTCTGCCCTCTGGAGTTTGCATGACTGCGGCCCCCGGGCCAGCACCCTCTCATTGCTGAGTGTCGACTCCATGGAGACTCGGCTGAGATGCAGATGGACTTGGCTTTCCTGGGGGGACACCGATGGGCTATGGATGTCATGGGTGTTGGGGGCGGGGGCGAGGCCAGTCACAAGGACCACGAAGCTAGCCTGGGGCTGCGGGTCTCCTGGCCGTACCCAGGGCCTCCCTCAAATGGATAACGCGGCAACCTCAAACTCACCACATCCGGGTCCCAGCAATGCTTCCTAACAGCCACCTCTTAGTACAGAGCTTACAAACCATGTTCACGTGTGTGAGTTCATCTCATCGTCACAACAGCTGTGTAGTAGCAGATGGGATGCCCACTTTGTAGATGAGGAAACTGGGGTTCAGTGTGGGACTTGTCTGAGGTGCGCCCCAGCTAATCAATGACCTCTGCCCTCACACCCCAGCCCATTCATTCACATCACCATCTTTCTGAGTTCAATTTCCACAGCTCTGCTCTGGGCCGGGTAATAAAATACCCACTTCCTACCCCTGGGTTTTGATGATAAATGTGAGTAGTTGTCCTGTAACAGCATGATACCAGGCACTTGGGACAGGTGGGAGGAAAATGTATTTTGGGGATCAGGGCGGAGCAACTTTTGAGGGTCCCTGATGGCCCTGGCTCATGGCAAGATGAGTCCAGGGTGACCGCAGGGTCACGAGCCAGAAGAGGAGGAGCTGAGTGGGTAAAGCACAAGATGAGCTGCCTGAGGGCCTAGGCTCTCCCTGACACACTCTGTGTGACCCTGGGAGTGTCACTTCCACCCTGAGCCTCAGTGTCCAACCGCGTGGGACTGGGCTCGGATGACAACCTCTGCCAGACTCCCTAACCAGGGCACTGCACCTGGGTTTATGTGCTATTTCTTCCTGGGACCAGACTTTCTGCGGGAGCCGGCTCGGATGGGGGTGGGATTTAAGAACGAGCAGCCCCCTTCTTGCAAGGCACTTTCTCTGGGTGAGGCTACATGCGGCTTGTATGCAGCACCCAGATTTTACA